GTTCTCAGCTGTGTGCCTTGTTAGTTCTTATCCTTAAAAGAATAACACTGTACAATCGCATTAATCCAATGTATGGATAATAGCATTATTTTTCATAATAATTATATTAGTATCAATTGCCGATATTTACTTGAGTATTTACTCTGTAAAAGTCCCCCCATCCTTAACCATTTAATTGAAATATAATTTATTCTTTTCAATATCCTTAATATGGTAGGTATTATTATCCCATTTTACAGAAAAATCCCATGAGCTTCAGCAAAGGTTAGGAGCTTGCACAAGGTCATGGGTTTACAAGTGAATGACATGGACCTATCTCTGCAATCTGATTTGAGAAACAAACCCTTAGGCTTAAACTTGTGGCCATTCCGAAGTGTGAAACAGGAAACCAAGACATGTTGAAATGAGCCGTTCACACCAAAATGGTCATAACAAAGAGAGCACTGCTGTTTTACTCTCCATTCAGGGTTCATCTCATCATTTCATAGACCATCATCACGAAAGTATGAAAACTCTTGATCAGTGCATGTTGCTTCAACAGTCTCATTAAAATGGCTACACTGCCGTATATCTTTATTTTAAAGAGTCCTTCTCTGAGTGGCAAATGTTTTCCCACTGGGACATTTACTTCCCATACTTCCACTCCCTGTAGGAAAAGCCTTATCTTCCAGCCGCCAGTGCTTCTATGCCATCTGCACAAACCTTAGAGACATAGCCTTAGGCTTGGCCCGAAACCTTTAGATGCAGAGAACATTCTCTTCTCTGCTGGATTAGTGTTTCAGTATATTTCAAAATAGAAAAGAATATCCTGGTATCAAAAACCACAACTAGAGGAAGTCGTAAAAAGAGAAATAATAATAGTGTGTCTTGTACCTTTTCCCCCAAATTACCTTGTCTGAGAGAGAATTAAAAAGTTGAAAAATTCATAGAATGGGAATGACTTTCCTTTTTAGATGTTCCCTTTAGAAATTAGGGAACTGCCATGTAATTTAGATAATTTGGTTTAGTCAACAGCACTCAGATTAAACCAAGTTTATATACACACTGTCAAACTTATACTGTCAAATAATAAATCATAATTAAATAATAAATAATAATCCCCTGTTTTGTCCCAGGATTATTATTGTTCAGGATTATTATTAAGATCAAGTATTGTATTCCAGTATCTACTTCAGGTGTAAAGTCTATGAATACAGAAATTCAAACAAATTCCTCTTTTTTATTTTGTTTTGTGTTAAATTTTAATTTTTATTACTACATGTTTGCAGCACATAATGATCACATTATTGTGTGGAATTGGTACATGTTCATAACACATCTTTATTCTGTTTCCGTCTCCCACTCCCTACCCTGCTCCTTCCATCTCTTGGTTTCCTCCTCACTTGCAGAAGATAGATCTCCTTTTTAATCAGTTATTTTTGGTCGCCTTTGAGTCTCTCCCTTCACCTTCCCTCTTTCTCTTGATCCCGTTCTCATTTGATAATCATCTCCCTACTTCATGTTATCTATAAGTTACTCTTGATTCTTACATATTAAAGTTGGGGGAACACTCTTTGGGTCTAAATGTTGAAAGAAAAAGACAAGGGCATTACAACAACTTATTGAAATTACTGGGCAGTTAAAAAATAAATACAGTAAAGCCAAAACAACAAAAAAAATTGAAGCATGTTTTATGCTTCTATCCCTTTGATACTTATGATAGAAATCCATGAAGCAAGGAGGTGAAATTCAACATTTTGGGTTGCTTTTCAAAAATAAAAAATCCATATCCCAAAAGAAACCTTGTTTCAATTATACATATTGATAGAATAAATAAATATAGATTTGTTCAAAAATGAAACTTAAAATTTTGTGCTCTGATAATACATGAATAATTGCAAAGAATCATGTGATTGAGTGCCATGATATTTCAGAATAAGGCAAAAATAGCTTACACTTAGATTCTAGGAAGACTAAGAATGCTTATAGCTACTCATTGTTCTAATCGAATTAGATTCAGGTCATTTCAGTAATAAGTCTAACTTTAGAAAAGCAGAGTAATTATGAAATCTGGGTCAAATGAAGTAGTAGTTTAAATTAGAGAGCTGTAAACCTAAGTATCCAAAATTGGTTTCTATTATCTAGAGTAGCCTATCAAGGAATACAAAACAGTGAGGAATACAACATTGTTCTCCTCAAGATAGTTCTTGGAAAATGCTTCCACCTCTAGAGAGTTTTTACTCAGGCATTATTCACTCTGGAAGTAATGTACACCCAAGATGAATTGGAACGTAAAGTTTCCGTGTGTAGGTCAGCTTGTCACTTATGAACTGGATGTGAACAGACATTTACACATTTTCCTAGAGAAACAGAGCAGAAATAGTAGTTAGGTTGTGAGATTGGCCCACAATATGACATTATGCTTTATTTCCACTGTATGCCTAAATTATTATTTTTAAAAACAAATGCCTGAATCAGAGACCTAAGTTTGAAAGAGTGAATGAAGAATTTTATTCAATTCTTAGTAAATGCCTATGGAGTGTATACTGCGCTGATCTTGGCGCAGGGCTATAGTGATCAAGTTTCCTGCCTCCATAAATGACACATTCTGGCAGAGATTCTTTTCTTGTGTCTTTGAGAGGGAGGGGGTTACAGGGCTAACCCAAAATAATACGAAGATTGGAATTATACCAACTTTCCTGTACATCATCCTGAATCTCCACATCATCAAGAACCTCAATTCACTCATAGGATTTTAAATCTCTCACTGATGTCCTTGCTCACATTTACACTAACGGCACACCCTTCCACTTTGTAGTTGCTTACATCAGATTATTCAAGAGACAATGTATCTAACCACACATCCGCTTTATCATGTAAGAAAAAACCCAATTATTACGACAATTCGGTTGCCTGGGGATATATTAGCATAGACCAGTATCACCTTTTTAGTGAGAAAATATTAACTCCTGCACCATAAATATGTCCAAAGGGTCTCCAAATGTTAAAATGTAAGCTGCCAGAAAAATATTTTTTTAAGAAAAACTGAGGACTGGTTAGCATGAAAGCCATAGTGAAAGGTTCTAAAATTTAGAAAATCATCCTTGGAAAGCATTTTCTCTACTTCTAAAAATCTCCAAAGATAGACAATCCAAAATCAACTTTTGTAAGGCTTAACAGCTCTTTCTGTTTTCAAGAAAGTATTCTTAAGAATTAATCTAATTCCTTTGTTGTTACAGCTTAAGTTCATTTTCTCTTCTTTTGTTGTTAATAGATGTATGTTAAGTCATTGTCATATTTGCTCAAAAAATAAGGGATAACCCACTCTGTATAATAATCCTGCTTTAAGATAAAGGAAATCTGAAACCGCAGGCTCAGCACTGGAAAGATGTGACTTCCTTATTTTCTGAGAATCAAATATAAAGTCCATTGTATGTGGAGGCTGAATTTCTAAACATTTTCCTGTAATGGATAACTTTAGAACTTAAATCTCTGTTGGATTATGACAAAGAGTTAATGTTATATATTATCATGTATTTTTGTATACTCGACACTTACCCAAATCTCAAAATGCCCTTGGCCATGGATTTATTGCCATCATGGAGATTTTCTCACGTACATCCATTTGCTTACTTAATCATTACAATCATCATGTGAAGTATTATTTACTTTTAAAGAAAACAAACAAGCTTTAGGAGATCATTTTTTATGATCTCAATGTTAAAGCTAGAATTTAAACTCAAAGAGTCTAATACCAAAGCTTGCATCCTTAATCACTGAAAATTAAACATATATTAACAAATTATAGCCAGGAGCTCATCGGGTTGAGCTAACCAATCATATCACTTGATTCATTTGTCCACAGGTTCAAAGGAAATAGCTACTGGGTTGACATCATACCACAAATCAATCAGATACAGACTGTCTTATTTTTCCTTTTATGCATATATATTTTAATATTTTATAAATAAATTTAGAATCTGCAAATAATGACTCCTGTGAAATATTTGGTTCCTTCTTAAAGGCATGTATATCTGGGTGGAGGTAATTAATTCACCCTTAGGTCAATATGGGTTATGTGTTGTAAAAATGTGACTATCTACTGTATGCATAGTGTAGAGAAAAGATACGACTTTCTCTTTATGCATATGTCAAACGCTTATGAATTTTTTAAATGTTATGTGATAGCGATGCATGAGTTTGAGAGGCCTGCCAATGAATTCATGCAGCATGTTGTTTGGAGTCTAGGATGAGCAACCGTAGTCAGCACTGCCCAGCCCTGCGAGGTGAAGCACCTTGGAAAATGAGAGCACAGGTCAACCTGCACATTTGCATAAATTAACAGTAAAATGAAACACCAGGGACACAGAACGGATTTAGAGTAAACACAATGTCCCTCATGTGGTGATTCCACATTACAACAAGCTTCAATTAGTTATTAATGTGGGGCAGGGCAAAAGGGAGCTGCTGCATATGAGTTATATTTTATAGGATTACTGAGAAATTGCAGGCTGCTTTCCACATCACCTTGGCATGCATTTTCCAAAGGAAATATGCGCAGTGAGTACATGAACTATAGAGAGCTTACATGTTAGGGGGAAGGCATACAGAAACTCCAGTTTCAACTTCTCCAATGATGGTAAAACTGAATGACCTCAGTGCTTATATTTAATTTTAAAAATAGAATAGCCAACTAATGAAACAAACAGCTTCTATGAATTCTAGGTTTCATATACTAATTTAGACATGAGAAGGAAGTATCTATATAGATTTATTTAAATGCTTGAATGTAAAACAGGCTGTGTGTGTATATATAACTAAACAAGCATTATTTGAATCACATTGAATCGGTGTGGTTAGTGTTCAATGAATTGCTACTTGAATTTTGTTTATAAAAGCTTCTTTATGCAACAAAATTAAATATTTATGCTTTGTGTCATCTGCTTGAAAGTTACACAACTGATAAGTTCCATGTATTAAAATATAGAGTCTCTTTTCTTACTTATATTCTCTGTCCTCAGGTGGTATATAAAAATAATGATGTAAGGCTGGAATTATCACGACTTGCCAAACAAGGTGATCCTAAGATGAAGATCCATGGAGTGGTGGCATTTAAGTGTGAAAATGTTGCCACTTTAGACCCAATCACCTTTGAAACACCAGAGTCTTTCATCTCTTTGCCTAAATGGAATGCAAAGAAGACAGGCTCCATATCATTCGACTTCCGTACCACGGAGCCAAATGGCCTGATCCTATTTAGCCATGGCAAGCCAAGACATCAGAAAGATGCCAAACATCCACAGATGATAAAGGTGGACTTCTTTGCTATTGAGATGCTGGATGGTCACCTCTACCTCCTCCTGGACATGGGGTCAGGTACCATAAAAATAAAAGCCCTGCAGAAGAAAGTCAATGATGGAGAATGGTATCATGTGGACTTCCAGAGAGACGGACGGTCAGGTAATATATTATTTTTCTGTGCTATTTATCTGCCTGACCATCTTGCTTTCCTACAAATTAAAGAGTTTCTGCGTTTCATTTTAGAGTAAAGAAAATTGTTATTGTTTCTGTTTAACATCCTATAAAAAATCTGAAAGAGCTAATTAATCATCATAAGTGAGCATCAAAACCAAAAAGCTCAAATGGATTCTCGGATAGCTTCTTAAGCAAACATTCACTGGGTAATCAACTGCCAAATCTTGCAAGAGATTTGATCTTGAATTTGAAAATGAGAAACTACATGGCACTTGTATCTCAACTCTCTCTTATGTCTTTGGATGTTTGGAAGTACTTCAACTGGCAAACATAAAATATGAAAACTACTAGAATGATCCGCACATGCAATCCTCAGTTGAAGTGGCGTACTTTTTCCCAGGGGGGATCTGTGGTATTGAAACCACTTTAATCAATCAAGTAATGTTCAAAGCTCTTCTGTCTTCCAAATGATGTTCCTAAAGGAAAGGTATTTGGCATTCTAACAGCAGGAGCTTATTCCTCTCAGAGGGGAAGATGAGGATGGTGGCAGGGAAAGTTTCCCTGAAGAAACAACATTTACACTGAAATCTTGCTAAGGGGAATAGAGCAGGAGCTTCAAAGGAAAAGAATCATACAGACAGAGGAAATGACATTTGTGGGGATCCTGAGAGAAAAGAGAAAGGAAGTGAAAGGTGAAGGAAAAAAAGAAGAGGAGAAGTAAAAAGACAACAGGAAAAATCTTAAAATACACAGCTATACATAATACTTAGTCCCTTTACTCAATTCTCTGTCCATCTCATTCATGCACCAGATTATCTTCTTGTAATACAAGACGCTTGGATTTCAGTCTCTGTTTATCCACACCCTACCTTTCTTTTTCCCCGCTTCTCATTTGCTTAAATACTATACCCCACACTAGTTTTTCTATTAAAAACATTGTAAGATTGGCTGAGACAATGTTATGAGTTTGTTTTTCTTCATGTATAAAACAATAATTAGGAAAGTCCCATCTCTAACCGAGTGAAGGAGGATCAACATGGATGGGACTGAAGATTCTTAGTAACCTGTCCAGATGACTCTGAGGATTCATCCCACTTGGGACTACCTAGTCTCAATTTGGGACACCTAGTTCCTGAATTCCATAACTTTTTTTTTTTTTTTTT